TAGTGGAGCAAAGCTTCTAGCTGGAGACCGGACATGGACTGGAATATGATTCTTTTCTGTTCACTTGTTACTTGCACAAAAAAGGGGAATATTGCATTTCTATGCTCTACTCGCACACCCCTGCCCTGTTGTTTTCCTTTGTGGTCAGTATCCGTGTCTAGTGTCCATAGTTTCTTGTTTCTTCCTTTTCCACATCTTGTTTCTCCTTTCCTTCCTTTTCACTTTCATTTCCCATCTCCCTTCCTCTCCTCCTCTTCCCTGTGCCACTTATCTCTGTGTAGATCATATCGGCTCTTTGTTGCATCTCTTTCCCATCCTCCCTCCACCCCTCCAGGATATGCTGTCAGTTGTTCGTTATCATTTTTCTGATCAATCTCTCATGTTTTATAATTTTCTGCGTGGGCATGTGGTCAGCCAGCCAAGTTGGGGAGCCTTTGGCATCCAACTCATTTCTCTAAAATCCGTCTGGCTATCTGAGAGCTCAGCCAGCCCATGCCAGCATTGTGTTCCTGTTTTCACCCTTTCATATTTAGTTTGTTTACCTCTTGCTCACAATGTATCTTCACTTAGCTGCTAACAAGATGATTATTTTCTGTCTTAAAATTGTCCAATTAAAACAGTTTCACTTGTGTTGGACGTGAATGCGTGAGCCCACACGTGCACCCTACTGTATCGTATTAACCTCTTTTAATCTTCATCTGCTGTCCACGTCTTGCTGAATTTGTGGGTTTTTTATTTTCTTCCCTTCTGTCTTTTACCTGCTTGTGTGCATGCATGGCACTTGCTATGTTTCTGTGTGGCTCAGTGCCTCTTTTGGCCTGCCAGTAACAGCTCCCTTAACAACGGGGCAGCCCATAATTATAGTCCGCCTTGTATCCGAGAGCAGATGGCACATACTGATCCAGAGATGGCTCTATCTGTCAGCCTCGGCAGCTACTGTATCTGTCTGCTACCCTTTGGTGTGTGTACACTTACTCGATACCTTCCCGCTGACCCTCAAATTATCTACGCCTGTCTGTTCACTCAGTCTCCTACTGGTGTCCATTGAGATGATGATGATTATTAAGGTAATGGTAACTAAGATGAAATGAGAATAAAATGAACTCAGAACCATTTCTAAGTAACACAAATTCTTTGCACTACCATGAGATTGCATGTGTTAAAGCATTTAGGTTAGTGTGTGACACCTCTTTGTTTCTCTCACTAATAGACAGCCAAGTGCTAACTGAGGCCTGCAGTGGCTCTCTGTTTAACAAAACTCATGCAGCTTAACTGAGCTATATTTACTTTCTCTGGGATGGGTGAATTTAAAAAAAGTCTATCCATCTGTGCCTACTTAGGACAACGGTGTGGATGCTATCCATCCTGGCTATGGTTTCCTGTCTGAGCGGGCAGAATTTGCCCAGGCCTGTTCGGATGCCGGGGTGATGTTTGTTGGACCATCTCCAGAAACGGTGCGCAAGATGGGTGACAAGGTGGAGGCTCGTTCCTTGGCTATCAATGCAGGTATGATACGACCAACCCAAAATGATGCTCATTTGCATGTATTTTGAGGCTTGCTCATTATAGTGGACCTGTTGTGCTTTTTCTAGATAGATATAGGTGTCTGAAATAATGAAGTCAGTACAGGAAAATTCTAGACTCCTCCAAATGCCCCTTTCCTGACAGCATTTTTTAAATATTCCTGGCTCTTAAAAATGGCAAATGTGCTTAATTTGGTCATCTCAGGTGAGCACAGCAGCCTCACAACCCTGCTATTCAAGCTTTCGTTCTGCAAGGGCCAGCAAATCAGAAGAAAGTTGGCTCAAAGGGACAATTGAAACAGCTTGTATCAGAGGATGATCTGAAGCACAAGGCCCTGCAAAATATGAAGATTGCTTTGAACCTTGAGTCATACAAGGCTGTTAGAGTAAAGAGAAAATATGGAATTGGAAACGTGTATAATATATTCGTATTATGTGATGGTGGTAGTAGTAGTTGTATACTTTGATAAAATGGAAGCGTAGCTGACTGGTAGTGTGCATGTAAAGCTTGTGACGCTATTAGTAATAGTGTGGCTCTAAATTTAAATCACTCTGCAAGATGACTCACACCTCCATCTACCTTTCACTCTGCCATTGCATTTGCTGTCGCTTTAATGCGTGTATAAAATTTGTATTCACTGAGGTGATGAATATTTTAAGAGCGTGCTCTTTTTCTTTTATGCAACTGTAGGAAATCTAACAAGCTCCATTTCTATTAATGGGATGCTTTTGTCATTTTGAGCCACTAAATAATTTAGTATTTAAGACCAAGTGAATCTTAGATCGCACTGCTGTCTTTAATGGCTGCCAATCTTCTTTGATTATATCAGTAACTGTCATAATTATGGTGCTAGTCTTTTTTTTTTCTTTTTTCCCTCCTCTGTAACATTTGACATCCTTTTTAAAGTAATGTTTGTCACAAACTCAATCCTGTGTAGGAGTACCTGTGGTCCCAGGAACAGATGCTCCCATCTCAAGTCTGCAGGAGGCGCAGGCGTTTGCCCAGACATACGGCTTCCCCATTATCTTCAAAGCAGCCTATGGTGGAGGTGGTCGCGGCATGAGGGTGGTCAGAGAATATGAGGTGAGCGCTTGTATGGTGTCAGAGGAAGCCGTTTAAACTGCGTCTTGACCGACCAACCTAATAACCTAATGTTTTTATTAATTCGGTTTGCTCTGAATCGAGTTGAAATTGCTTGCAAATCTCAAACTGGGCATTAAGCTCTCTAGGCACCAATCACTCTTGAAGTATTGGAATCTGTGCCCCGAAAGTGGCTCGGTCACTTAGTGAAGGAGTCTGAGTGATTTCTGTTTGGCTCCTTCTCTTTTCTTTTAAGTGAGTATAATTGGAGGCTGTCCAGCAGGCACAGTTAAAGTATTGTCTCACTGTTTAAAATAAAAAATGGACGGTTAACTGATTTCATGCATCTTACCTTTTTTACTTTTTAAATGATTTTTTTGGTCCATAACTGATACTAATAACTGAAATATAAACAGTATATAAATAGCAGAAGATTATCAAAATAGGTAGCATAATCTTATTGTGGGCCCATATTACAGGAGTTGGAATTTTAGATTCAGCTCTTCTTCGGCTCAAAAGCGTTATCTGGATATAAAATGTGAGATTGGTGCAAAAAGAATGGCCGACAAAGATTGTTTGTTTTTCAGCAAGACTGTATGTAAAACAATGACGTAATCAGGAACAACTGGACTTCACAATTTCTGTTTATTATCTCAACTTTAGTGCCTGCAAGTGTTTCAAAACTCTTGCCACATTCAGAAAAACCCTTTGGCTATGGAGGTGGAAACCTCCGCTCAGTGCAGCCACACGTGCCTGTGCGACCTAACCAGTTAGCCAGCAAAATTTGCTCATTTAGTGATGCTGGCAGCTTTTCCCTCCTCAAGCCTGTGGCGATAATGCTGTGTGGTTTCTCATAGGCCTGGTGAGAATTTGTATTTTTTATTTTTTTTTACCCCGGGCATTTTTGCCTTCATGTGACTGGACAGTGTAGACTTTCTAGAGGGGACAGTTTCTAGACAAACCCAGGCTGCTATATCAAGCATTGGGGCTTAATTGTCACCAAGCTGGTGGGATTTCAGTATTAATCTATTTGCATCACTACTAAAACGCAGTAATTCAAAAAATGTAAAATTGATAGAAAATAAAGAGATTCATAAACCTGTTTTTAAGTATGTCCCCTTTTACTCATCGCTCTGGCTTGTTTTGCACTCTCAGTTGTGCAAAAGTGTTGTCATAATCACCCAGATTTAAACTCTAAATATCAAAGGTGTCGTCTTTTGTTTAGCGATGTAAAACTCTCACATAACCAACACTCTGAATCAGAGTCATTGTCGTCACTGACCGAGGTCTGGGATCAGATTTCTCTTTGAATATCCGAATTATCCCAAGCTCCAGCAGTCTGAGCCCGACATGACACAAAATGACCCACAAAGTGGTCATTAATAATTCAAGAAGTGCAGTGATGGCCTGTGTAAATGGTGCTTCTGCTGTTTTAATTTCATCTATATTGAGTATGGTGAGCGTCTTTTTAATTATTTTTTTTTTTATAACGGTGCTGGTTACAGACCGTTAACCTCACAAGAGTCCCTGAAAATACATTCATTAAGCTTTTAAGCGTCGATGCTTGGCTGATGTTTGGTGTTTTGGGAAATGCTTGTTAAAAAAAAAAAATCAGGATAGCTGTACTTTAACCTCATAACCTCAGTTGATTGCTATTGGCGACTTGGCCAAGCGGAGACGGTACAGTTTATCTCGACACTGTTCAATATGAGGGCAATTGTATTAAGTCTTTATTTCTGTTTTATTACATAATATTAGAAATTATAGAGGGTTAAAAAGAAGCCAGAGGTGTGATTTTTATTTTACCCTTTACAATTGTATTTTTTTTTTTTTTCTCAAAATGTGTCCCTCAAAGGGGCTTTTATGCCTTTAAACACCAGGAAGTGTCAAGTTATCACCACTATTTTAGTGCATGCCTCGAGGTTGCTTTGTTTCTAGCATTATCCGGACAGTGGAGGAAGCGTCATTGCTGCCCCTTGATTATAATATTCCCTGATGACCCTTTGAGCACTGTAATGTTATCCTTTAAACTGCAAACATTTCTCAATGAGTACCATAAATGGTTTAACGTGTTTACTTGGCCCTCAGATTAACCAGATCACGCTCTCCTAATTTGTATCGTATCATATCGTTGGGCGGATGTGCTGCGCGAAACATTTACTAAAGCCTGGATCGAGAAACACAAGTTACACTGACAAGTGTCAGTTTAAATGTAAGCCCCACTTTATTCACTGTTACTGATCTACATGAGTAGTGGCAGTGTTGCGTCCTACTGTAGTCATTGAGCCTTGCAAGTCGGCAACATATCGGAAAGTGTGACCTTTTCTGAGTTGTACCCCAGTCTAATTAATTAGTTGTTGACATTTCTAGTTATTCAGTTGAGTCACAAGGGCCTCAGCAGCTCCAGCAGATACGATGTGAGGAAATTGTAAAGAGGTTTCTCTGTACTGTTGGGACCACCGAGCAACAATGCGTAGGTTGACTTTTTATTCCATTAAGGCCAGCTCGTAGGTCATTTGTATGCTGAATTAACAGACAGAAGCTAATATTCTCAACATATTGTAGGATGAGATGTGTATGTTTACTGATAAGCAAGGCTAAGATAAGCTAGTCTGCTAGATTTTAGTATTTCCGCCCCTCTAAGATTGATGTGATACGCTTTCCAAAAGAAGTGAAAGAGGACAAGGGAATGGCAAGCGTCAAAGCTCCAGTGGCCAGAGCTGACGATGCACTGAGAAGATGTGGAAGGAGTACAAATGCGATCTTCATAAGTTTCCCAGTCTTTCAAAAGTCCTCTTGCACCTACTGGCTCGTGAATGACAATGTAATTGAGCAACTTTGAACCAAACACTCCCCAAAAAAAATCATTCAGTCAGACTTGGGAGTCCCTGACAGTAACTAGCAGGTTTTTCTGGTTTCTCAGTTGTTAGGTTTGCAGGAATGATGACTGGATGAGATGTAGATGTACTAGCAAAGCAGCTGTTCTTCCTGTGCTCGTAGCATTAGCTTCAGTCCATGATCACCTGATTAAGTGGTGACAAAGCCAGTTGGTGAATGCTTGGTTCTAAATCATTTGATTGTCCCCTTATTGGCAGCCTGTGAGTCTGATCAGATATTTAAAGGCTTATTTATGTATTAGTTGTATAATTTCCTGTTCTTTGAAAGTTGTGGCTTCCTTTTGTGCCATCTCTGCCCTTTTCTTTGACACACTGCTTTTAGCAGCGCTGATGACGTCTGCAGTTCCCTTGAATGTTGCAGTTGTGCCTCCAAATGCATTTTTTTTTTTTTTTTTTGGTCAAGGCTATGAGATGACAGCTGAGTATGGACTCGAGTTTCCTTTCCTGAGGCTCAGGGGAAGGGTGCGTGGTTGTGATTCGTGTCTTTCCTCCATAGAGGAGACTGAATTGGCTGGCAGAGTTTTGCAGACTGACAAACACAGATGGAGTCGTGACCTTGAACATGGTGGACCGTGATCTTCCAGAGATATTGTCTCCCGTCTTACTCTCTAAGGAAATGTAAACATTTCTGTCGGGACAAATAAAATATTACGTGCAAAAGGGGAACAGCAGTTGTCTAAATAACACGAATAATACCCCTCCATACACTTAAAAAGCATTAGTTTGCTGGGACTGTCTCTTGAACGGGTGAACTAACTCGGACATGTATGGATTTCTCTTGTTTGTCAGGAACTTGAGGAGAATTACCAGCGGGCCTACTCTGAAGCCCTGACGGCTTTTGGGAACGGAGCCTTGTTTGTCGAGAAATTTATTGAAAAGCCGAGGCACATCGAAGTACAGATCCTTGGTAAGTGCACTCAGACTTCATTTACGTTTGCCTTTTAACTATTTATCTGGTTTATGTTTATCTGAGTTTCATTAAGAAGGCAAACTGCATTGTAGCCCTTGAAATCTAAGAGTGCTAAGGGAGGAGGTGAAGCAGATGAACGAGGAGAGGGAAGATGATTTATTCTCCAGCCATTACATCTTCTCATTTTAGTGCATGTAACTCTGCAAGCACTCTATTACAGTACTGAAATCCAACACCGGCACTTACAGGAAGTGCCTGTACTGCACAGAGGTGTCTGCATGTTTCCATGGCCACACGTACACAAGGAGGCATTCAGAATTTACCATAGCTAATCGCGTGTGCGTGCGTGCGCATGTTCACTGTGATTAATTGCTCTCTTTAGGGCTTGCAAAGGATTTTGTGAATTTTCTGAATTACCTGCTAACAGCCATGTCTTTGCCAGCCCTCTGAATTCTGGCAGTCCTTCAGTCTCCACTTTCCTCTCTGGGTCTCCCTTTAATATTCTCTCCTTTTTTTCTTGTCTCCTCCCTTTGCCATCCAGTTTCATTTCTTCTTATTCGTTTCCAAAAATCTAACCAGGAGATGTATTTATTTTGCATTTTCTGCCCAGCTTCCGTCAATCCTCGCTTCTGTTAGATTGTTCGAACTATTTCGGGGTATACAACATTAAGTAGTGCGGTTAAACTGTGATTGTTTGTTTTACTGGACTGTTTTAACCCAACAAATGGCAGTTCACATGTTTGCTCGTATTCTATTCTGCAAGTTGATTGTGATGACTAACAGTTTAAATGATTATTTGAAAAAGTTGATCTGAAAGGGTTTTGATGGTCCATTAACTGCAGTAATTTTCAGTAGAATTGTTACAGATGAAGAGCTGTAACAACAACAATGGTTCACAACCGTGAGCCACTGAATAGCTTTTGAGTTTGAATCATTTGAACAAAAGGAGAAATTTGAGGAAGTCAAATTAAAAAATGTCATTGTTATCGAAGAGAAAAGGACCAATCTAGAAAGTGTTTGGGGAATAAATAAGTGAAGAAAAGGGCTCTACTGTCTTGACTGCATTGTCTTTTTAATGAACTCTTGCAAATCAAACCATTTAAGTAAAATCTGTGGAATTTCATTTAGTTAGCTTCTCAATTATCAGTCTTATCTTTTAGTCCTGTTAAGTAATAATGCCACTAAAAGAAGCCTTGTGTTGTCACATTGACATAAAATGTCTTACTCATCATTTCATGTCATATTCAGTTGTTTAAAAGCTCTTATCTGCAGTAGCAATCGATCAAATCTGATGCTGTAATTGTAACAAAAAGCTGTTTGTGGTCACTCTAAAGCAGCGGTTCCCAACATTTTTTGCGCCACGGACCAGTTTAATGTCCGACAATATTTTCACGGACATCCTTTAAGGTGTCGTGGATAAATACAACAAAATAGTGGTATTGTGTAAATATAGTAACTTTATTAGCGGTATCCTCCTGAAATGCGCCAACGACATTGAGAGTAACATCCTCCTCGCTGCACCTTAATGCTCTCTGGTCACTATGGTAACGCGGAATATTTTTTTCAAAATAGGACGCACAACTACAACACGGAAAAGACCCAGGGAAACAGAGTTAACGATAAAAACCCTGAAAACCATAAATTTTACTGGGGACCGTCTCTCATGCTCCAAAATTGTGTTTGCCTCACGTAGCATCAAGAAAATGTCCTGTCCTTGAACGCAGCCACACTCTTTACACTGCTCTTTGTCCTCATACTGCTGCTTATCTACTTTTTAAAAAAAAATTGCTTCCTGTTATTTCCTCACTTACATCTTTGTCTTTCCTCAGGCGATAAATATGGTAATGTCATCCACCTCTACGAGAGAGACTGCTCCATTCAGCGGAGACACCAGAAGGTGATGCCCTCTTCTTCGTCTTTGTTTTCATTTAAGATTTTATTTATGGCGTTGCTTCATTAAGTAGATTAATATGAAGTGCCTGATAATGGTGGGTGGGCCTGAAATAAGTCATAAGCATGGATTGGATGTGCATGCATTGCTGAGAAAATTTACAATAGACTGAAGTGTTTAGTTCTCCTTTTATTTGAGGAAATGGGCTAATTTAGTGGCGTACCCTGTTAAGGGTTAATATAGCACAGGTGGCCCTGAGTGTCATAGAAAGCTCTAAGCTGCAGGGGGTAAGAGGATCTTACTCATATAAAAATTATCCACTGTTAATCCTGTGTGAATGGGAGTCTTGGCAGTAACTGCATAATCCTCAGACAAATCAACTTGGATCAACAAAAGCACTTTCTTTGAGATCGTTTAAATTCATTCATATTAATCAGGCGGGCATTCATCGGACAGTTACTGGAGAGAAATGAGGTATTACGGCATCACCTGATTATTAAATTAACAAAAATGACTGAATATCAGATGAAAGGGGGAATAGAAATAGAAATTGCCATCTAATCACTCAATGTAGCCGTGCTTTCATCAGAGGAAGCTGATTAACACGTGTAATATTTCATTACATATTGTCACCTCAGAGCAGTTTTAATCATGTGTTTTCATCACTTTCTTCCTTTCCCTTTTAATCAAATTACAGATGATAATCATATTAGTGGCTCTGTTCATGCTAGAGCTGCTGGTCTTTGATTCTGGCAGCCTTAATCTGCCTTTGCCCTTAATCTAAGATCTCTTTCAATCTCAGAAACAAGAATAGTCGCTTGTTGAAGTAGATTTGGGATGGCAGAGCACAGCTGGGATATTTTTAGTTTTCTTTATGTCGCAGAAGTGCTACTCTTACTTGGAGAGAGGCTTCTTTATGGCATTAAGACTTGATAGAGATTTTATTGAGTTCTAGGGGTTTCACTTACTTTAAAATTTGTGACGGGTCACGTTGCCTTGAACTGAGCTGCCCTGATGGGTCGACTTGTTTGACACAGTGAAAAGAAATGGATCAGGCTCCAGCGTAGTGATCCCCAGCCACCCAGCAGCCACACTAAACACAAGGCTGTGCATAACCAAGATAATCTGCTCACTCTGTTTCACTAACGCTTAAATGACAAACTCTATCAAGCATGGAAAATAAAAAAAACAAATTATAGTGTTGACTAAATGGGTGAAGTAGGTTTATTAGTTTGTCTTATAGTGAAATACAGTGAAATCTGGGGCTTTGGGAGCACTTTTGTAAGCACTATAGAAAAAGCACCATTCCTTATAAACAATAGATTACATTTCTGTGTTACGGGTAAACAGCCACTTCTAGTAATGAACCAATAGACAATTATCTGCCAACTCTGCAGTACCCAGCAGCTCTCTGGAGCATTTAAGCATCTTTAAGCTCATTGTTCTGATTCATCACCCACAGCTTTACTCTCATCAACACTGTTTACCATGAAAATAAGCCTGCTACACGCTGCCTATCCACCCATAAAAGGCTTACAAAGCAGGTCAACATAATGGACGATGATGTGCAGTTATCGGGTTTCATATTTCTAATTTTTAATTATTATTTTTTAAATGTGGTTACTAGTTGTAGATGCCCCTCAAATAGTGTAAAGTCATCACCATGGCTAATTACGCAGTCATACAACCTTGGTAGGGTTTTAAATTGCACATGTCTTTCAGCGGTTCATTAATAAAGCCATTTGCTTTCGGGCTTATCGAATGCACCACTAATGTCTAAGAGAATTAGGAGGCAAATTTTTATCCTCTGTGTTGGGCTAAATGAATCAGAACTGAGTGTTGTGATTTAGTTGAATCCAGATTCCCCTAGAAGTGTCAGAATGAATTATTAGCATCCGTGTCTCTCAGTGCCTCAAGGGCTGCTAATCTACTAATAATCAAGGTCTACTGCAGGCAGTGGATACATCCAGACCCCACCTCCAGTCCTGTTGTCTTTGTCTGGTGACTGCTCACCTGAGGGTTTAACCCCTGTTTTAGTTTGGGTTTCTGTGTCGCTCCCTTAGTAACACGGCTGCTTTTTGTCAATCGGGTTTTCTGCAGTTTCTCCGGATGATTCACTGTCCTACATTTCTGTGGGGAAAAGTTATTAATAAATGCTGGGAAAACAAAAGTGCTATCCTCTTCCTGTTTTGTCTGTGTGTTTTGAGCCTTCATTTATCCCAGGAGGTTTCAGATTGTGTCATGAAAGCGAGGCTTACAGGGGTCCAATCTAAAGATGCACACTATAGCCAGTACACACTGCAGTTATCATTTACTTTATGTTCATTTTCCTCCTGATGTTGGTAACATTGATGGTCCTATTGATTTGAAGGTTGTGGAGATTGCACCGGCGTTCCAGCTGGACCCTCATCTCAGAGATCGTCTTCACGCGGATGCTGTCAACCTTGCCAGACAGGTAAGGCTGCTTTACCCATACAGCCCCACCCCCCACCCCACCAGTTGCAGTTGTCCTGATGTGAAGACAGCCTCTACATTTGGATGCGGCGTTTGCTCCGCAGACTGTGAAAGCAGGTTTCAGTGTGTCGAATGTGCAGCGTTAAGTTTAGAACACTTGTTATGAAAAGTTGGCAGCCTGGGGAAGAAATGGCTCACTGAAACTGAAAAGGCTTTCCTGGCGAGTACTGTCAACCATCGGGTTCATTTTAAGAAGCCTGAGCAAATTCCCCATACAATTCACTTTCCTGCCTATAATTGGTCTGCAAGACAACTGGATACTGCTCAAGAATTTTAATGTGCCGACTACCTGTGATTTTTAGAAGGGGATGTTGGCGCTTTACCCAACTGTGAAAATGAAATTGTAATTTGAAAATGGGTGGAAATGGATGTCAGCAGTGCAGACTGAGGATGCAATTGTGAATATGAGTGTTTGAACAGTTGGAGAGCATCTCACCTTGTATTTAGCCTTTTTTGTAAAATCATTGAAAAGTTGGCTCAACTATGACAGCGCCACTTAAGTCGAGCCTCATCTCTCAGGAGAGATTTCAAGAAATGGCCTTTTCGGGTAATGGTCCAGTTGAGGAATGGATAGGAGCGATGAGGGAGGAGGTTGGAGACGGGGATGGTGATTTGCGGAAGAATGATCTTTGTTACTGATCGTTATGTAAGACAGACTTAGACTGGTGATGTGACCTTGCTCTAGCAGTGAGGTTTTTTTTTTTTCTCCTTCTCCAGTAATCGTATCAACATCACCCAGCTCGTCTGCCTAAAGTGACAAACCATGTCTCCTTGTGTGTTTAAGAGCTGCAGCGGCGAGCTCTTGACTGCATATTACAGCTTGAAATGAGAGTGATGTCGCTCTGGTGTGAGGATGACAGGTGCCAACAAGAGTACAGCATGCATGCATGCTCATGCACATACCCGTTTTTTATTTTTGTGTTCCCAGCTGACTTAAATATGACAATGTAGTGTCTTCACTCGTCAGTGCAGAAATAGAAAGAACTGTAAAATACAAATGGTAAAAAAGGTGTGACAACATCAATAAAATATATTATATTGCTTTCTCTTTAAATATGTTAGTGATACACTGGCGCCAAATATATTTTTAGTCGAACATGCAGGTGCTCCTGCCAGTTTACCTCTCCAGAGTCAATACTTTGTCTCCCCACGGTGGCACTTAGAAAGTGATTAGGAGACTGGCGACTGAGTGGACGTCAGGGTAGGGAAAGTCAGTAATTGAATTATTTGATGCATCGTTACAGTTGAAGAATATAATCTATACCAGTGGTCCCTAACCTTTTATTGCGCCATAGACCGGTGTATGTCCGACAATATTTTCAAGGACTGGCCTTTAAGGGGTCGCGGATAAATATAACAAAATAAAACCAGTACTGGTACAAAAAAGATTTAATCATAACACATGGGAAAAGACCCAGGGAAACCGAGTTAATGATAAAAACCCTCAAAACCATAAATTTCACACAGAGCCTCAACTCTTGTGGTCTGGTACCAAATGACTCTCAGACTGGTATCCGTCCCTGGTTGGGAACCGCTATCTACAGTTTTTTTAAGACCTCAGTTACAGGTAATAGTCTTGGTCGTAGATGACTTATCTGCAGTGTATCCAGAATTGCTGTATTATGATAGCTTTGGTTGGTCTGTCATTGTTGCTGATCTCCTTATGCTTGTAATAAAGGGATGAGGCATATTGCTGATGCTGATTTTTAAAAATGTAACTCGTTAACTTGCACTCTGACAAGATGAACATGTTGTGCTTTTTGTGGGACAGCCGTTGGCACTGATATCTCACAGCGGGAAGCCTTGAATCTGCTGGCCAGCTGTGGACTTTATGGTGGATATTGCACGTTCTTCCTGTGCTGGCATGACTTCTCTGTTCTCTACTTGAACTTGCAACCACAGTCCAAATATGACTGCTAGGTTAATTGGTAACTTGAAACTGGCCTCTAGTGTGACTGGTCTGTGTCCCCCTCCCCTTCTTCCTCTCTGGGTTCAGGCCAGGTAAGAGGCAACAAGCTCTTTTTAAAAAGATTATTTTACGTTCTTTACTAGTTAAAGTTGTAACAGTAGTCGTATAAATGTTTGGATTTTACCTCTTCTGTTTATTGCATACAGAGCTTGAGCGCTTAGTTTTTTGCAAAGTAGAACAAAGGTGAATAGAAAGTCTCACAGACCTGCAGCCTTTGTAGATTATCACCAGGGGTCTCACTTTCTCTCTGCATCACCTTTCATTTTCTTCCTTCCACACTTGCTCCCCCCTCCCCCACCACTGTTCTAGCATTTTTCTGCTATGTGTTGTGACTGCATTTCACTTTAAGTCAGTCTCCACAGTGAAGCTTCCACTTCAGAGCAGAGCCCTGCTCTCACCTCTGGTATTGAAACACCCCCTTAGCAATGCTGAGGATGCACTCTGGTGCTTACTTCAGAATTATTAATGGGTGTGTGCATGTGTCACAGCCTGTGCATGCATGTGTGTGGAAGTAAGGTGATGCAAGCTCTTATAGCCCACACTGGAATACTCATATTATTTCTACATACCCATGCTTGATTATGCTTTCTTTCAGTTCTGTCCTGGAAAGGTAGACATCTTGGTTTCAGTTTTTATTTT